CGCTCACAGCAACCTCCAACTCCTGGGCTCAAGCGAGTCTCCTGCCTCCGCCTCCCAAGTAGCTGGGACCACAGGCGCCCGCTACAACGCCCGGCTATTTTTTGGTTGCAGCTGTCATTGTTGTTTTGGGGGGTCCGGGCTGGGGATTCGAACCCGCCACCTTAGGTGTACGTGGCTGGCACCTTAGCCAGTTGAGCTATAGGCGCCAAGCCCAGAATGAGATTCTGTCTCAGAAAGAGTTCTCACATGCTCTACACTCAATTTTCCCTATTATTACTATTTATTACTTTTTCTTTTTTGTAGACAGTCTCACTCTATCACCCTTGGTAGAATGCTGTGGCATCATAGCTCACAGCCAAATCAAACTCTTGGGCTCAAATGATCCTCTTGCCTCAGCCTCCTGAGTAGCTAGGACTACAGGTACCTGCCACAACGCCCCGCTATTTTTATAGACAGGGTCTTGCTCTGGCTCAAGCTGGTATTGAACTTATGAGCTCAGGCAATCCATCTGCCTCAGTCTCCCAGAGTGCTGGGATTATAGGTGTGAGACACTGTGCCGGGCCAATTTCCCCTATTAACATCTTACATTAGTAATTTATCACATTACTGAACCAATTAGATTATTATTATTATTTTTTTTTTTGAGACAATCTATGTCATCTTTGGTAGAGTGCCATGGCATCACAACTCACAGCAACCTCAAACTCTTGGGCTTAAGCAATTCTCTTGCCTCAGCCTCCCAAGTAGCTGGGATTACAGGTGCCCACCACAATGCCCTTTTATTGAGAATGGCTCATTATAAACAAAATATATTTATGTATAAAATCTGTGCAATGCCAAAGATCCTGTTCGACCCCTGTGGCTAGAGTAAACAAAGCCCACTGTCTCTCTTAGCTTCTAAGGCTGCACTGAGCACCAGTGTGGACCACTGGGCACTGGGCTCACGCTATCCTCCTGCTTCAGCCTCCTGGATATCCAGGCTCTCTCTCTGGTCTTGTTTTTGTGACTTGTGCAAGAACACGAGTGTGGCTTGCATCCTTTCTCTGTGACCTCCCCAATGCCTGGGTAGTTTTTGTTGAATTGTCATTGTTGTTTAGCTGGCCCAGGCTGGGCTCGAACCCACCAGCCTCTGTAAATATGGCCAGCGCTGTAACCACTGTGCTATAGGCACTGGGCCATTAGAATGGTCCTTAATCAACCGGTATAGTTGAGATCCACAAAAGAGGATAGGAACTAGACACAGGTGAAGGGAGAACATTGTAGCATAACAGAAGCAGACACTGGAGTGATGAGCTGCGATCCAAGGAGCACCAAGGATCAGTGGCCACATCCAGATGCTAAGAAAAAACAGGGAAGAATTCTACTCAGTTGAGGAGGGAACGTAGCCCTATTAAAGTCCTGACTTGGACTTCTTAGTCTCTAGAATTATAAAACAATACATTTCTGTTGTTTTAAGCCACCTACTTTTTTTTTTTTTTTTTTTTGAGACAGAGTCTCACTATGTTACCCTCAGTAGAGTGCCATAGTGTCAAAGCTCACAGTAACTTCAAACTCTTGGGCTCAAGGGATTCTCTTGCCTCAGCCCCCCAAGTAGCTGGGACTACAGGTACTCGCCACAATGCCCAGCTATTTTTTGGTTTCCGTTGTCATTGTTGTTTGGCAGTACTGGGCTGGATTCGAACCCATCAGCTCTGGAGTATGTGGCCAGTGCCCTAGCCCCTGAGTTACAGGAGCCAAGCCAAACCACCCAATTTATAGCATTTTAGTTCCACAGACCTAGGAAATGAATGTAGTAATTAAATTAATTATTTTGAAGCTATGTAAATACCTTGTTCCTCATCAGGTTTTCAGTTCAGTTATTAATTTTTATCAGTATGGATTCAGAGTCTTATTTATTATTTTAATTCATGACAATATTTATTTTGATGCTCAAATTGACAAGATTTGGCCAGTGGGAGCCCCTTTCTGTGTTCTTTATTTATTTCCCCATCATTTTTTGAGCAATTTCTTACTTTTAGAACAAGGTGTTACAGGATTATCTTGTTTTTCTTGTTGTACATACTTGCCCAAGAAGCCCTAAAAGATCTAAGCACTAGGTAAACTCCTTGCTTACCCTGTGATAATCACTCCTACCACACCCTGTGAGCTACAGGGTGTACTAAGGTTAAGCTACACTTAACCTACACACACACACACACATTTTCATGTCTCTCCATGTATGTATTGAAAACCGCAAGTTCACAGTTATTTCCAATTCCAGTCCAACTTATAAGTTTCATTCTAGTTTTCTTACTTCTTCACATTTCTAATTGCTTTTTTTTCTTGTGGTCTTGAACCTGTGAGCTCAGGCAATCCACCGCCTAGGCCTCTCAGAGTACTGGGATTACAAGAGCCAGGCCCTCCACAACCCTAGTTTAATCATGAGAAAAATATCAGTCAAATTTCAGTTGATTATCTACTAAATACTATAACAGTACTCTTTGAAACTGTCAAGATCATCACAAATAAAAAAAATCCAACTGTCACAAATAAAAGAAACCTGAGGATAAAGGAAACAAGACTCCTAAATGCACTATGGTATCTTGAATGGGATACTGGATTATAAAAAAGGACATTAGGTAAAAACAGGAAATCTGAAGAAAATACAGACTTTCATTAACAATAATCTAATTGGGCTTGGCGCCTTACCTCAGTGGCTAGGGCGCCAGCCACATTCATGGGAGCTGGTGAGTTTGAACCTGGCCTGGGCCTGCCAAACAATAATGATAACTACAACAACAAAATAGCCAGACATTGTGGTAGGCGCCTATAGTCTCAGCTACTTGGGAGGCTGAGGTAAGAGAATCCCTTAAGTCCAAGAGTTTGAGGTTGCAGTGAGCTGTGACGCCCCAGCACTCTACCAAAGGCGACATAGTGAGACTCTTTCTGGAAAAATAAAATAAAATAAAATAATGATCTAATTTTAACTTGATCATGTCTCTAAGAACCCTATTTCCAAGTAAGGTCACATTCATCTGTATGTTTTTAAGATGCATAATTCCATCTACGATAATTAGGGAAAATTTTACAATGAACAAGCATGAAAAACGCCACATTAATCAAGATATCAAAGAGAACATCACAGGTAGTGGGAAAAGTGCAACTTGTATGCCAACTGATAGGATGAACCAAGAACCCAAAATCCATTTCTATGATAGCCCTAAAGATACACAACCTCAATCTGATCATAAGTATTTTCTTTTTGGCTCGGCACCTGTGGCTCAAGTGGCTAAGGCGCCATCCACATACACCCAAGGTGGGGGGTATGAATCCAGCCCTGAGCCCGCCAAAACAACAATGACGGCTGCAATCAAAAAACAGCCGAGCGTTGTGGCGGGCGCCTGTGGTCCTAGCTACTTGGGAGGCTGAGGCAGGAGACTTGCTTGAGCCCAGAAGTTAGAGGTTGCTGTGAGCTGTGATACCACAGCACTCTACCCAGGGGGATAGTTTCAGGCTCTGTCTCAAAAAAAAAGTTTTTTTTTTTTTTTTGGCCGGGGCTAGGTTTGAACCCACCACCTCTGGCATATGGGGCTGGCGCCCTACTCTTTTGAGCCACAGGCAACCGCCCAATAGGAAGTGTTCTCTTTTTTTTTTTTTAATTGCAGTTTTAGGCTGGGGCTGGGTTTGACTGATCATAAGTATTACATAAATTCAAACTGGGAGAAATTATACAAAATATTTGACTTGTAATCTTCAAACATATTCAGGCTAGGTGTGGTGGCTCACACCTGTAATCCTAGCACTCTGGGAGGATGAGGTAGGCAGACTGCTTGAGCTCAGAAGTTCAAGGCAGCCTGAGTCAGAGCAAGAGCCTGTCTCTAAAAATAGCCGGATGTTGTGGTGGGCGCCTGTAGTCCCAGCTACTTGGGAGACTGAGGCAAGAGGATCACTTGAGCCCAAGAGTTTGAGGTTGCTGTGAACTATAATGATGTGGCACACTACCAAGAGGTAGTGAGATTCTGTCTCAAAAAAAGAATAAATAAATAAAAATAAAACAAAAAAGTAATTTCTTCATATGTGGAGACAATGCTTATCCTAATAGAGCCAGACTACATCATATAAATGGTTTCTGATATATAGTAAGCATGCAGCATGAGATGGTTTTAATTATTACTTACATTAGCTACCACTTTTACTTCTTTGTATTGTGCTTCATAGAAAATTCCAGCATTTTCCAGTGCTTCTGTTAGTGAGGGCCCATTTTTCACTTGCTTATCTAATCCATTCACAAATTCCTCCAACTTGGAGCTTGCCTCTTCAAATTCTTTGGAGAACTTCTTCCCACCTGTTTTATCTAAAATAATACAGGAAGTACACATTTCAGGATAAAAAATTAAAAATCCAATCTTTTAGCCAGGCAAGGTGGCTAGCGCTTATAGTCCTAGCTATTTGGGAGCTGAGACACAAGGATCACTAGAGCCCAGAGTACAAGGCTGCAATAAGCTTGGTCATGCCACATTGTACTCTAGTCTGGGAGACAGAATGGTAACTCATCTCTAAAAAACTTTTTAAAATTAAGTTAAAAAGAGAAAAAGAAGTCTTTTGAAGAAAATTCCACTATGTGAATATGCTGTGCCCTTGCTACCTTAGGGTATAACAGTCACAGTCTCATAGTTTTTCTTTTTTGAGACAGAGTCTCACTATGTCACCCCTGAGAGAATGCCATGGCGTCACAGTTCACAGCAACCTCAAACTCTTGGGCTTAAGCAATTCTCTTGTCTCAGCCTCCGAATTAACTGGGACTACAGGTGCCTGCCACAACTCCTGCTTGTTTTTCTTTTTTGCTGTTGTTTGGCAGGCCTGGGCTGGGTTCGAACCTGCCAGTCTTGGTGTTATGTGGCCGGCGCCCTAGCTGCTGAGTTACAGGTGCCAAGCTGCCAGTCTCATAGTTTTATCTTAAGCTTCTCCAAACCACAGAATCACAAAACAGAGTATTAAAAATTTTCTCAAAAGTTGGGGCCTGGTGGCTCATGCCTGTAATTCCAGTACTCTGGGAGGCCAAGGCAGGTGTACTGCCTGAGCTCACGAGTTCGAGACCAGCCTGAGCCAGAGCAATACCCTGCCCCTAAAAATAGCTGGGCATTGTGGAGAGCAACTGTATTCTCAGCTGCTCAGGAGACTGAGGCAAGAAAATCGCTTCAGCCCAAGAGTTTGAGGTTGCTGTGAGCTATGATGGCATAGCACTCTACCAAGGATGACAAAGTGTAGGGTGACCAGATTTTAACATCGGTAAGGCAGGACAACATGGGGGGGGAGGGGGCGGGGGCAGGGCAGGGCCTGACAACAATGCAAACTTTGATAAGCAGTTCTCAATAATCACTTCTCAGCAATTATTTGTTATTATTACAGTTTAACGTTATAAAATTAACAAAAATAACATAAAACTCATATTCTGGCGAAATAGCCACATGGCAGCCAAAAACCATATATTCCCTTCCTGTTCTCCCACCCATTTGTGCATTCTTTCCAAAAATCGGGACTTTTTTAAAATGCTGCGGGACATGGGACAAATTGTTGAAAAGCAGGACTGTCCCACCAGAAGCAGGACGTCTGATCACCCTAACAAAGTGAGACTCTTATCTCAAAAAAAAAAAAAAATTTTTTTCCCCACAAAACATTCACGTCAAGCTGCTATAGTGAAGCAAGAGTGAAGGCAGCTGCGATTCGGGTAAAGAAAAATTCAACTAAAGTTTGTTTATTACTTCTTTTCTTCACAAATTGGATGTCATAATGCTACTTAAGAACAGCAGTCTGGGGCAGTGTGCCAGCCCAGGCTGGGTGGTTCAAATCCATCCCGGGGCCAGCTAAAACAATGACAACTGCAACAACAACAATAACAAAATAGCTGAGCGTTGTGGCAGGCGCCTGTAGTCCCAGCTACTTGGGAGGCTAAGGCAGGAGAATGGCTTAAGCCCAGGCCAGGAGTTGGAGGTTGCTGTGAGCTGTGATGCCACAGCACTCTAGCCAGGGCAACAAAGTGAGACTCTGTCTCCAGAAAAAAAAAACAACAGCAGACTGGGACTCAATTTACTTGCACCATAACTTTTGCATTACACAAGGTTATGAGATGTATCTCTTAAATGAGAAAACTAGGCTCAGTGCCTGTAGTTCAGTGGCTAGGGTGCCACCCACACACACCAGAGGTGGCGGGTTTGAATCCAGCTAGGGCCTGCCAAACAACAATGACAACAACAAAATAGCCAGGCATTGTGGTGGGCACCTGTAGTCCCAGGTACTTGGAGGCTGCGGCAAAGAGAATTGCTTAAGCCTAAGGATTTGAGGTTGCTGTGAGCTGTGACGCCATGGCATTCTA